ATTGTCAAGAAATGGTGCAGAAAATGTTATTGGTTAGTTGCGTAATTTAACAGAAAAAAAAAACGAAAACCAACTTTTTTTATAATTTTTAATGTGATCGAAGCCTAAACTACGTAATACTTATCTATGGTGAATTTCTCAAGTTTAAAGTAGACAAGCTTTTGTTCTAGCATTTGTCTGTGAGGAAAACGACATTAGGGTGCGCCCACACTGCCGTCACGTCGTGAGGGCGGACGGTTCGTAGAACAAAGCACTGAGCACCTTTAGCTCTAACTACATTTTAAGGCGACACAAGTCATAAGCGACAAGCGTGTTAATGGTAAAATCGCATGATTAGTTCAAATTTAGATTTTCATTTTATTTTATAGTGTTGAAAAGGTATTGAGGACGTTAATATGTCTAGAGAATAAGCCTACAAAATAATGTCTCTAGTACCATTCTTGCAATAAAACAAGAAGGGTTAATATAAATTAGTAGGATGTTATGGAGTAATAAATTTTATTTAATACAACCCGCATTAAACATAATAAAAGAGAATTCCAATTACTCATAAATATATAAACATCTCCTTACTTGGACGGTTGCTTAGTCATAAAGAATTAAGATAGACGATAACAGTAAGCCATAAAGCACGTCATCTGATTTGACCGGCACGAGTTTAAGTTTAAACTTAAGTTGCAAAGCGCAGCTTATCATGTTCGTTAAGCAAAACAATAAAACCGCAAGCGCTTTTACCTAGAAACAAATAATCAAAAGACAATAAAGAAAATAGAAATAAGAACGTCGTAATCACTTTTATTAAATTAATATTACGACTGATTGCTTTACAAACAATACTTTACTATCTAAATAGGTAGGTAATAATTATGATTTGAGAAAATATAAATAACATAGTTCTGACCCTCGTCCTGGTCACAGTTGCATAGTCAATCTTTGATATGATCTACTTATAACAAAGTTGTTAATGTTTTTAATAAAACTCAAGGTTTCCCGCCTTTCCAAACGATGCTACCGTGTTACGTAATTAATTTAAATAAATATATCGTTAATTCGTCGTCGAAGTTAATTAAAAATATAAGTTCCAAATTAGTCCTAATATCGTCGCCCCAAAAAGGTCTGCAAAAGTATTAAAAACAACAGGTAAACGTTATCATTTCTCGAAATCGTATTTTTAACACCTTATAGGTTGAAGCGTGTTCAATATTCATAAGATGGACTCGAATGTAAATAAAAATTTCAAGTTTTCGCGATAGTGTTGCTTCAAATCGAGTGTCCGACGATCGCGGTTACTGCTGCCACGGTATCAGCTTTACTCAAAGACTTTATTGCTTCTCCTCCATAGAATCTACATAAATGTCATCCGAAATAAATTACTCGCACCCGCTGAAGTCAATAGGGTTGTCCACTCTTTAACAAACCATTAGTTAAAAGTGTTGTATCAACAATCAGTTAACAAGGAAATTCTTAATCGTTGTCATGAGCTAGGTAATCAGAATGTGTTCCACTGGACATAATCATTATCTATAAATCATCATAAATATTATCGCCTGTCTCGTCCTTTATGCACAACGTTAATTTGACTAAAAGCTAGTGAAGTAGAGGCACTTATCTAGGCTTTCATTTAAAGTTACACGCAGCTACTAAAAAACTACGACCTAGTAGAATTTACCCTGTACATTATACGTGAGATGAGTTTTTATAGAAAAATAACGAGAGTGACAACCCTAGCGTAAGTGTCAATATTTATGGCGCTATATGATATTCCGAAAACCCCGTACCGTTGGTGCTTTTAAATTGAATATTGGATATTTTAAATAATACATAAAATTATGAGATATGATAATTTTATACCAATATAGCTCACTCGGAGTATTTATTGCTTGTGTGGAGGCAAACATGATTTTCTTTAACTTACGCTTTAGACAAATCGTGTAATGATAAGTAAGGGCATCCTTATTGTAAATTTAGTTGAAAAAATTACTCCTTAAATCCATTAGACGATGCTGAATGAACTAGCAAGGATTCCAAAATTAAATATCGTTGATGTGTCAATATTTTAACAGAGATAGTTTACGGTTAGAGTGCCAACTTTTTGATCGAATGAATGAACGAATGAAGAATTCAACCTTGTCTCAACTTCCTGATATTAAGATAAATAAATCTAATTTATCATGTTTATTTTAATCTTCATACGTCTATACGATTTGTGATAAACACAAAAATAAATAAGAAAGTTAAACATTTTAAAGAAGAAAAAAAACGTTACTGGAACTTACGAGTAAAGTAACTCTGAGCTTCTATTGTTTATCTACTCTAATTGTAATTTCTAAACAAGGACAAGGGACAGATGGATATGTTCTGACAGAGATGGATTGCACTCTAGTCCCGCAGGTTACAGTATAAAGGGATCTATTGTGATTCGTCGCATCTTTAAAGCTATTACCTGCGCACACGCAGTCCCTTTTAAATCTGTCACTTCAGCTTAACATCAACCTACACTCTCGGAAATCACGTAGTTAGTATTATTGTTATGAATAAAATTTAATTTGAAATTTGTCTTGACGAAAAATTGAACAAACATAATGTACTTATGAAATGTTTTTTGTTCTAAATGTTTTAGAGTTTTATAATTGAACTTATTTAATAGAACTAGAGAGAAAGAGGGAAAGAGTTAGAGACAGAGATAGCGATAGAGTTCAACTCTTACCCAATATTATTTAAGTTGTTTATTTGGAATTCTTATTATGCATACAATTTCATTTTACAAAATATTAATGTCTTTTATAGTTGTACCAAAAAATGATATGTTTATTGTCCCCGTGTTTTCTTTACTTTAATTATTGAAATAAATCGCAAATATTTCTTTTCAATACTGCTTAAACTTACATTTGATTTTATCTCTTAGGTATTTTCGTATTCCTTCTCCCTGTTATCCTTTATTGTTGGCATTAAATGGAAAAGGTGTGCGATACACAATAATGATAACAAAGCTCACCACGGGGTGCAATTTCTGGAAGGTCGCCGCGTCACTAAACCTGTGTGGAGGTTTAAATTTTTTTTACGTGCGATTTAATCTGTTGTGATTTTAATACTGGCCGATAATAAGATTAAATTTTAAGTTTGTCATTTTAATCTACTCTTTTCAAATTTTCTTTTTTTTTCAATAGATTTCTTTACATATACAATATTGTATCTTTCTATCTTTAAAAAAATATTAATATAATATTATACGATTCCACGAATCTTTTTTATTTCGATGTATTTCAATGGCATTATAATAAAATGAATATTATATGACGAAAATTGTAAAATCATTATTAGTTCTCCATAAAATGAAAAATTGATATTATTTAAATTTTTTACTCCGTTAATTAATTTTAAATGATTCAATTTTCTGTTTTGAATGTAATCTGACTTTATTTTACTAATTGACGGCAACTGTTCACGATGTTTTTAAACTTTTTCTATTAAAAAATTGAAAAAGCATCTAAAAGGGTTTCATCATCCGCCGTTTAAAACAAACTTTTGATAGTTTTAACTTCCTGTAAGTAACGGCTAACATTATTGGCTCGTTTCCGCCTCGATCACAAGATACATTGTTTGTTTGTTCAGACTTTAATGTCTATAACAAATTGCCAATGACATAAATAACGCTCTCAATATATCCTTTATTCAATTCAACTATGAAACATCGAACTTTGGTTTATATCACTACCCTGTTAACTATTACACACAGGTCTTCCACTGTATCCGATGTCCTTCAATCGCCATCTTCGGGATCTAGGTATCAATAGTTGGTCAAACCTTTAAAGTAACTTTCGACGCTTTTTTACTTTGACTAAAGGGCTGCCTTTGTATATAAAGATTATGCACGTACGTATAATTACAATTTGTAAGATGCCATATTCGTATACGTCTGTTGTTTAATTAATGTTTGCAATTAGTAAATCCTGAACAAAGCTAGCTAGTTTGACATTCGTGTCGTACTATCTGCCACACTCAGAATCCTTAATCCGTCACTAATTCTTTCTTGTAAATTCAGCCTAGACTTTAGGATTTAGTAAAGCATTATCTACGATTTCTGAAAGGCTATAAAGTGGACGACTTTTTTCTGTTATGTGTATGCCTGAACGAAAAGTTCTCGCCACTTATCAACGTCTATTCGAGTTTCTCTTCAAGTCTCATTGAATACGTAAGATGTATTCCAGCTCTTTTTTGTGGTCATTACAAACGATAAAGAAAAGCATCGTTTTCAAATGAAATTCTCAGTTCTTATAAAGTTTTAGTTTTTAGTCGTTAGTTGAGGCAAAGATAAGATGTTTTGTATACACATATATTGCAATCTGGGATATATTCTATTAATAGCGTATTTAAAAGGTATTCATGTCTGACAAATTCGTCAACAACTTATAAACATTGTCCTATATACCTACGTATGTCAATATTTATAGGAAGCATAAAGAAATGTAATTTACAGAAAGTGGCAGATCTTTTGCATGTTATCTAATTTTTAGGTAGATACATACATTTAAAAGGTTATTTTAATTGCAAGTTTTTTCAAAACAATATCCTATATTCAAACCAATCACTGGACAGATGTTTCAAGTGTACAGATAGTTTGATATCAAGTTCGTTATCAACTCGTGTTTGATAATCAGCAGAGGTTAGATACCGCGATGTTTATTTGCATGCAGACATTATAAAGAAAAAAAAACCAAATTATATGATATGATCTAAAATTAATTAACATTGAGTATATTTTGATGGGATAAATTTTAATATTTACATATTTTGTTTTATTAAAAACAAATGTTGTTGCATTGTACGTGTTTTACTTCAAGATGGCTTTATAAGAATAAACAATTAAAAATAAAAAAGATCTTTATTGTAAGTCGTGAAACCGAACGAGCAACTGAAGTTTATGAACTTTGAAAAAGGAATTTCTCCCTATCAGTCACGGGAGTGCTCATTTTCCATGTTTTTGATTAATATCAACTTACCGAGTAGTCTCCATACTTCAGCACTACTTAAATAAACATTCAGATGTGCTAGACAAGCCGGCAACAGCAGAAGAAATACTAAACACTTCATATTTTTAACTTTGTCCCTCCTTATGTCATAAATAAGGTCCTCATTAGAACCAACAGTTCACCAAAATCACAATTTCTTCACATTTTTTTCAACCACAGTCCAACAACGTTGAGTTCTCGCCGATACAAGATTACACACTCGTATAAATGGTATAAAATCACAAGAAAAACGATTGAAATGCACGAATCAATACGGTAATAGTTCAAAGTTTTCAACCTTATTCATCAAGAAGTGTATTTCTTTACCTAGAGTAATCAAATACGTAAAAAACAATACAAATAAACGTTTCTATACAAAAATTTACGACACAACCTCTCCCCCGTTTAGATTATGACTAACTAGTTGTTTGCCTTGTCGTCCGCCTCGCTTTGCCTCGACTCAAAACTGGTCGCCAAGGTGTATAAAATCCTAAGCGCCACACTGGCATCAATTAAGTTTCTCTAAAACTCCCGATAGATGGCGTTTAACACAATACTAATTTATTTCACGAACTGGTTTTAAAACATCCCTTTTAATTTTTTTTTAATAATTTAAGGCAAATACCTAAATATGGAATTTAGGTATGGAGTGATTTTTAAATATTTTTATAATCACTTTTTTTCTGCCATCTATCCTAAACGTTTAGTATCTTTAAAACTTTTAAAGTATTTGTATTGATAGATGGCGCGGGCACCACAGTTCAAGTCATACAAAGAAAATTAAAGAAACCTTAATAAGCAAATTTATAATATTTGTAATACTAAAACTTTTTATAACATTGTCAAATAGAATTCATATCATATCGATAAATTATATTTATTAACTCGCTTTAAAAACTATTATTAAAATTCATCAACATCATTAATTCCTCGGTAGTATAGTGGTAAGTATCCCCGCCTGTCACGCGGGAGACCGGGGTTCGATTCCCCGCCGGGGAGAACTTTTTATTTTTTTTTTTTCAAAAATTACCAATTATTTTTACTAAAAATCAAAACTAGCATTTAGCTTAAGGAAGCTAAAAATAATTAAGCTAAGTATTAATAATTAACAGCTGTGTACAGTTCAGTATACTGTTACCACGAAGGAGTCGGAGCCTGATCAAGTGGGGATGACTAAGCTAAGGCAACGTGGCCTATGGGCCATAGGCGTCCACGCTGGACCAGTACGGGTTTAAGTAATTATAACCAATAATAATTCAATAACATTTAATACAAAATTTTATAAAAAATCTTCAATTTATAATATTTCGTCCTTTGGTTAGACAATTTCCAATTTTAAAATCAGATTTATTATCTTAAAATAATGAATCAATCGGTAAAAATTATAAATAAGATTAACATAATAAATAAAGTTTAATATTCATCAGTACAAAAATTGATTATGAAAAAAATATAATAATGGACGCGTTACAGTAAATAATAAAAACTAAATTCTAAAACATAATTGTTACGGCACATAAAAGCATATTCGAAAATTAAATACACGTTTAACATTATAGGAGAGGCTACACGTATGGCACAAAGGAACTGTCGGGAGCTTATTTTTCTTTGGGTTTCTTTTCTTTCTTACGCGGCGGGGGCACGGGCGCGTCACCGCTCGCTGCGGTTTCCTTTTTCACCACCTTTTTGACGACTTTCTTCTTGGGTGCTTCCGCCGGCGCCTTTGGTTCAGTCGGTGACGTAGGCGATGTGGGCGCCGGCTTGTCTGCTAGCGAGGACTCTATTTGGGCCGCGGTCGTAGGCTTTTCTTTAGCGGGTTTGACTCCTATCTGTGAGAGAGATACGGCGCCTACGGGCGGGGTAGGCAGCTGCGTTTCATCAGCGGAAAGTCGTTTCTCCTGTTTGGGTGGTGGCGGCGAGACGGGGCTGCGCAAGGCCGGGGAAGGCGAGGTGACTGTGGGCGTACGCAGCTCACTGGCGATGATGGACTGCGCGAGCGTGTCAGCGTCCTCGAGCTCGCTGTCGGGGGTGGGCAGGGGGTCTGCGACGGCGGGCGGGTGCAGGCGCAGCTTGCCCGCCGGCTTGCGGCGCGCCTCCGCTACACAACCAATTTATTCCCGCCTTATATCTCTTGTTTTCGGTTACGGTTGGCGTTAGTATCGCGTTCACATTAGAGAGCAAGCTCGGTTAGCGCCTGGAACAAAGTCGAGGGAACAGAGCTACAGGGTTAACTCGAAACGATGCAAGCGGAAAGTTAGAACTGTGTCAGTTAGCGGACATCACAAGCTAATGATGACATTACAAGGATTATTATTTTACAAATCATTACCTCATGTACATGTATATTGAGCATGGTCCGAAACAACTATTTATATTCTAGAGTAAAGGTATTCTATTCGTAGACTTATATGACATTGATCGTGACAGGTGTGCACAAGTGAGAATGTACCGTGGAGGACAAGCGTTGAATAATGTTCCTTGCAATGTGTGACAAGTCATGAAAAGCAAAACAAAATAAAATATGAAATTGTTGATATTGAGACAGTTCTGCTACTGCGAAGTATTATTGTGATAAACTTTATATCAGTCCTCTTTGCAGTAATCTTTGCTCTATATTTTCTCTAAATTCAAATTATCAACGTTATAATCAATTATTCTCTTTTCCGATATAATTACATTTTACAGTGAAGTCGTTGACATTTTCAGTAGTCATTATTTCACTCATTCATATTAATTTCATTATTCATATACATTAAACGTAGTAAATAATAAAATAATTAACGTAGGTAGTTTTAAATTTTAAACTGTGAATAGTATATTTTCATCGTAAACACATTTTTATAATTTTTTTTATAATTAATCCGTACCATACATAATAATTTAAACCGCACCTGTTGCGGCTAAAATTATAAAATTAGAGAAAAGACAACTGCATCGAGTAACATCGTATCTATTTTATAATCGATATCTGAAAGTTCCTTGATACATCCCAGAAGTAGCACCAACATTTGTCACAGTCGACCAAATGTTCCTACGTCATTTTATACCCACTTGGACTCAACCCAAAATCTAAATAACTACATGAATTTTATACGAAGGACATTGGATATTTTGGTAGCATACACGTGAAAAACAATTTAAATGTCTAGCGTCGAACAGCGTATAATTGTTTATATGTTCCTAAATTTCGTTTTAGAATGAAATTTTATGTTAACAAAGAAATACTGACAAAAAACTTTTTGAAGATTTATAAAGATCGTCTTGATTTAAAAATTTGCTTATATAGAAGACTTCTTAAGTAAACGTATGGCCAAAACTGATAAATATTTGGTTTAAAAAAACATACTGACGAATTCAGAACTTGCTCCTTTTTAAAGTCGGTTAATAGCCATCGGCTCAAGATGGAAACTGCGATACGGTAGTAACAAAAATTACTTCATAAAAATATTTTTTTTTAGCTGGAACTATTGGTAGGATTTTTTTTTCTTTACAACTATAAATAATGAATTACATTATTTTAACATAAAATCTCATAACATATACTCTATGTCTTAAAGTATTAGATAATTGGTATTGAGTCCAAGTGTAATATTGTTATTACCTGTTGTATCAAAGCCGCGTCTCTTGAGCTGCCTCCTCGGTAGCTGGGTGAAATAACAACGAAATTTTGAAAGGTATGATCAGTAAATTAACATAAAAACCAAACAGCACAAATGGGCACAAATAAAACAAAACATGTCAACTACAAGACAGGTCGGTTCTCCAAACCCACCAATCCTGTAGACACTTAACTAAGTAATGGAATTAGTTGAAATCTGACAAAAAAAAACTGAAAAATGAACTCGTGGACGAAGCATATACAAAGAATAGGCTGTTCTAATAATTTTATTCCTTAGAGAAATATATATGTATATTTATAACGATAGACAGATGAATTATGAATCGTTGTAAATAATGATGTGTGGACGCAAACTTTTCTTACCATATATGGTCATTTCTCAGATACTTGTAATTCTATAAGAATGTTCTTTAATATTAAAAATTATGTATCATGTGATGTTATGTTTTGTATATGTTAAGTGATGCTACGCTTTTTATATCCTAATTACTTTTTACCTTGCATTTATATATGCTTCGTTATTATAACTGTGCAAAGCCGTTCAAACTCAACGGGTTGAATGTCATTTACACCTTTACTTACATTTAGCAGCTGGGTCAGCTGTAACATCTTCCTTAGAAGGCGTGTTGGCTAGAGGAGGGCTATCAGTGGCACCTGTCAGTGGGATATCTACTGGTTTTGGTGGAACAGCCTCAGTCACTGTAGGAGTGGACGGAGCCTCGGTAGCAGCAGGCGTCTCAGGAGCAGCCGCTGGCTTTTCAGTAGGGAGCGCTTCAGCGGGGACTTCCGCAGGAACTTTAGTTGTTACATCTACTACCTTTTCCTCAGTTTTTTGTTCTTTAGGAGCTTCTTCAGCTGCTCCTAGTTCAGACTCTGATTTAGCAATTTCAACTGAGCTAGCTTCTAAAACAGGGGCGGGAATTTCATCTATTTTGACAGTTTCCTCAGCGGGTATCTCTTTCTCCGCTAATACGGCTTCCACTACCGGAACTGGTATCTCTGGGGTTTCAGGAATTGAGGATTCAACAGGAATGTCGGCAGTTTCGACTGGTATAGTAGCTTTTTCCGAGGCAGCTGCATCAGGAATTGCGGCTTCTGCCGTAGGAGCTGTTTCCTTAGCAATCGGAGCCTCGACAGCTTCAACAGGACTTGGTTCTGCTTCTTGAGGAACAGGTTCAAGGTTTTGAGAGGTTGGCTCGGCTTTTTCGGAAGGAGTTTCAATAACTTGAGAGCTAGATTTAGATACAACTGCGGACGCTTCTGATACAGTCTCCACAGCTGGCTCCAATGATGGTTCAGGAATTGCTAAAGGTGCGGTTTCAGAAGTTGTAAGCGGAACAGATTCACCTGTTGGCGGTGCCGTTCCGACAGGCTCTATCACTTTGCTAGTTTCATCTGCATTTAAAGGTACTTCTTGCGATTGATCTGATACCACAGGAAGCTCGGCCTTGGGTTCCTCCGCTGCTGGAGATGGAGGAACCTCGGATTGCGATACTTCTGTAGCTTCCACTTGTGGTGCAACTGGAGGTGGGGTGGGCTCTTTCGGTGCTGATGCCGGAGGCTGACTAAGTGTTTGAGAAATCTTAGCCCAAATATTGGCGAAGGAATCGGCGCCCATGTAATCAATATTGCCTGCTTCCCATCCTTGGCGACGAGTCAATTCATCAAGTGCTTCTCTCTGAGTACCAACATCACCAGGTGATACGCGCGCTAGATTTCCCGCCACACCGCTCTGAAATAAACATATACATACTTTAGCAAAAAGTTATGTTGATATAAATATTAAATTTTAATCAAAATATGTTATTATAATCTTATGGGCTTACTGTACAAGTGTTAATAAGCATTTTCGTGCAGCCTAATTCAACAAAACAGCATGCAAGCTACTTCGGTAATGTCAAATTCATTCTCATACAATAAATTATATTACAAGGAAGAAATTAAATTAGTCAAAGTAAATTATGTAAGTTAAAGAAAAATTGTACGTACCAATTTATCGAATAAATAGAGCTTGATTAAGGTAACTTACATGCAGTCGATCATCGCTATCTACATAAGTGTCCTCCGGCGACAACAATTCGGATTCTGCGTCAAAGTAAACCGGACTTTCGGGTGGTGAGATTGAGGGCGAAGGCGATGGTGTCGGAGGGATTTCATGTGTGCATATCTTGCGGCCCCGTGAGTCTATTGTCATTCTATGCCGTAAGTAAAACCCATCGTACGGATGACGTGGAATGATAAAATCTTCGAAATCATCGATCTCAGATTCCGATCCGTGTCCATTAGTTACTTTTTCCGTTACTAGTTCTTTTAATTTTTCAATTTGACGAATTCTTTCTTTCTCATGATCCAAGTGTACGTAATACGCATATTCTATTCTCTTTCGTATAGGTTGACTTAACTGGTCTATTTGCTCGTAGTGGTGTGATAAATGATTTTGAATATTTTGAGATTCAGGAGTATCTTTAATATGTGAAGGTTGATCGCTAGTGTAAGAGGAATCGGGACGTTCTTGTTGATTACAAAAATCTTTTTCATTTTCATGATGGTGGGACTGAGAATGTTCATGCTGGTGCATACTATGATATCCTAAAGATGGTGAATTTTGATCGCATGAGGGGGTTGCTCCTTGGTGATATGTGGATTGGGATTGGGAATGATCTGAAATTTGCGAATTAGAGTATTCTTGGTAACTTTGTTGGTACAATTCTGTGGGGGTGTTAGGATATTTTGGATCGACAGAATGATGAAAACTTTGTTGGTTGTAGCTAAAATTGGAATGTGATTCAATTTGTTTATCATAACTCTGGTAATCGTTTTGATGACCATCATAATGTTTATTTTCGTAATAATCTTGTATATTATAGTTTTCTGTAGAGTGCGGTTGCGGCCATGAATGTTGTGTTGTGTTGTCTTCCTCACGTATTTCTGCGTTGGGTCTTGTATGCCATGCATCTACATGTTGTGTGTAATGGTGTTCACTGTGATGTGTATAGTTTTGAATGTTTTCTCTGTGTTGTTGTTCAATGTGATGGCTTTCGCTGTGCTGTGGTTGGTTGTTATGCCATTCAACGTGTGATATTTCCTGGCCATGTATTCCGTAATCATGTGATTGGTTGTGATGCGTCTCATGGTATCTTGCGTCATGTATTTGTTTGTGGTGTGGTTCCGTGAAATGTTGAAATTGTTGCATTGATGGTTGTGCCCAAACATGTCTTATAATCTCTTCTTCCTGATGATATGAACGATTGCTTTTTGTCTCATCTGTTGGCTCGCGTATATGGCCTTGGTAAATGTCCCACGGATCATGAAACTGAGTCATGTCTATTGGTGGTACTATTACTTCTGTATCTGGTATTTGAGCCTCTGGTCGATGCCAATAAAATTCAGACTCCGGGTTTAATGTAGGTTTATAGCAAATATATTCAGATCTTGGTTCACTGAAGGTGAAGATGCTTTCTTCTGGCAGCACTAAAGTTGTAGGGACGTCTTCAACCTCAACCTACAGGTTGGATTGAGAAGACTCAGTGGATTGCATGCAAAGTCACTTGAATCAAACTTCAAGCACAACGTTTTTATTTTTAAAAAGTGCCAAAAGCTCAATTCAAGTCATTAGTAAAAACAAAAAAGAAACAAAAAGCTAGCTTATAAACATACAATAATTGTATATAGTTAATTTATTACAGAAAAAAAAATAATATGTAAGAAAATCAAATGTATGTTTACGTAGCTAGCGCGGTGAAATTTCACCAAAATACCAACACCATCTACTCCATCCCAATACAATATTAAAAAATAAACATCAACCCGTGCAAAAGCTTTAAAATTGCGGACAGTTAGAAAATGTTAGTATTTTGGAGAAATGTTTAGTTTAATGCACTAGCATCGTAGTGATTTATAAACGAGAGGTGCAACAACAGGGGAACAATGCAATAAGCAGTCGCAAGCGTGTTTTGTATCAGTCTCGCAATATTTACAGAACGGAAAATATAAGGATAAACTTTGCAAAAGTAAATTGAATAGAAAAAAAAGAAAATTGAAACGATTCTTGGTTTAATTAACATCTCTCACCTCTTGTATATGTAATTCCTGTTCGGAATGCTTGGAGGACATGTTGTCACGATCAGATATAAATCACAAATGAATCAAGAATATATCTTGTGGGGCTGTGGTTAATACGACCTAACAGAAACTATGCGGTTGGTAGATATTTGATACGACACCACAAATATCAAATCTCCCTTACAACATTGATGATAACAATCCTATTCACAGTGCAATATGATACTATATTCTCGAATATCGATGTTTCGCGGTTTTTAATAATAAGAAAGTATATTTACTTATTTCTTCAAATATTAACCGCATTGAAATAAAATGACAAACATTAATTACAACATGGACATACTTGGTTATAATAAGTACGTAATTAGTTTGGTAAGGAAAATCGATTCTTTTAGCGTTATTAAAAACGATTTTATATTTTCGAATCGATTTATTTTTATCGAATAGTCCAATCACTATCATTGACAGCTGTCAAGCTTTACTAAAGTGAACTAGTGTTGCCATTTTATTCCAACTGGCTACAATAAATATTTTAATTAATTAATGTTTAAAAATACCCTATTTTAGCCTACCACACAATTATATCACACTTTTTATGTACATTATTTTCACGTTGTATAAAAATAACTTACCATTGTAGTATCGAGCAGTGGGTGTACTTGCGAGACGAAGATGTCCCACCACTGCTGCAGGAGTTCTCGCAGGTGGTCTGGCGCGTCCACACTGCGCGACTGCCAGTTGAACTGCTGCAGCCATGGCTTGGCCGCGCCGATGAAATGGATTATTTTAAGGTTTTGTCCATAGCTAGAAAAAAAACAATTTTTTAAAATACGTGCCAAGCTAAAGGCTATTGACAGGTGTTTATGGATTATTTCATAATGTATAACTGTTGGTGCAATTAATATATTTTTACTCAGCAATTAAAAACAACTACATATTTGCAACAAACAGGATGACTTGCAGTGTTTTGATCAAACTTTGTTCTATATAAAAACATATTAAACTAATAAATAAAATCTGCACCGCACTACAAAATAGCCTGTTTAGACGTTGTCTAATTAGCATAAAAAGCTTAGCAAATCACATCAAATAATTGCTTACTGTTTGAGTGCGGGCAAGTATGAGTAGAATGCGGCAGAGGTAACATTGTAGAGGAAGGGCAGATGCTTGTTGATGTCGCCGTGCGCCCAATCCGAGAAGTAGGAGTTCAGTAGACCTTGGTCGCCGCCTGGACGAATAATAATAATTGGTTTACTAATAGTTCACTTAGAAAACTTTGTACTCTTTTTTTTCTAAATTCTAATGTTTGGATGGATGTTTGTTAAAAGGTATCTACAGAACGGCTGCATGAAGCTCGATGAAATTTGACACAGATGTAGAGCAAAGTCAGGAAGAACTTAGGTTTTTCAATTTCGCGTGGAAAAAGTCGCGGGCGACAGCTAATGAACGAACAATTTAAAGAAGAAAGACGTTAGAAATGTCGACCCTCAGTTGCATAGTTTTTGTTTTTGTCTCTAACCATCGAAGCTGCCGCGTTCCTGTGCGAATGTAACCAGGCTGGCGAATGTCTCCGCCGAGGGTCGGTACACGAAGACGCCGGAGTTGAAGCAGTCGGGCCAGCCGACGTCCGGCGCTGCCGACAGCTCTTCGCGTTCGAACAGTTCATCACAGTTCTGGACCACCTGGAATAAGTTTATGCTTACGATAGTTTACTTTACATTTATCGAAAGTAGCTGTCTCCTTATATATTGTGGAAAATAGTTGTCAAGTAAAACTATTATTTATTATATCATAATATAAGTCCAGTATATTACAAGTAATAAGGCAATAATATTTATAAATTCAATTTAAAAATATCGATACTACCGCGATAGCGTGGCATGCGTTCGTATCATGATTACTCCATACAACGATAATTTAAGATACATTTATAGTCAATCGTAATCCAATAAATTGGATCAGAGCGAGGCGCATCCTACATCTGCTAATTCAATTTATCGACCTCGGTGGTTCAGCACGTTCCTGTGATCTAACAAATCCAATTTGTTGTTATTTTTCACCGGTGACATAATTTCGTTCCGTTTTATCAGAAGCCGTGTAATGCGAGCGTTCTTCACGTTACGACAAATAGACAGTGAATAAGTTGTTGAATAGTTTTTATCTTTACGTGGATAAAGCTTCGTTTGACACAATAACCCGCGATAATGAGGCACGGTATGTCAATGGAATCCATCCCGCTATCTAAACGTTTGATATTGGAGCCAATAATTTAATTCTCAATTTTTTTATAGCGCCTGCTGTTCGATTACGTAACGGAATGTCTCTCGCATGCAAAGTTATATCTGGAAGTGGTCGGTTATTCGTAATCTCCATAACTCACGATGCAGAGCTGTCTGATATGTTAGAAAGAAAACGCAAACGAAAGTGTATTATGATATTGGAGCAAGTCCAACACTGCCGGCCGGAAATATTTGGGCCACGGTTGTGCGTCTCGTCATCTCGTGTTACGACCGGCGATCACATCCGGTAACATTGACTTTCTTATCGTGTAAACAGCTATCAATCGAAATAGATTAACGACTATCACATATGGTCGTTATGGGGAAATTAAAAATCGGAAGGTATAAAGAGAAGCAAAATGTCTGGTACATGCGGTTTTACATACCGTATGACTCCAAGATATAGTGTTTAGTTAGGCATGTCATAAATAGTTTCAAAAAACGCACCAAGAAAAATAAACACTATTTTATTACCATGTGGTTACAAAATGTATATTTTAGAATTAATGTTTGTTATCAACTCTATCCTATAATGAAAATCTTTATGAACTTCCACTGTTTGACGAGTAATACTTTTTTTAACCGACTTCAAAAAGGAGGAGGATATCAATTCGTCTGTATGTTTTGTAAATGTAAGTTTAATAAAAAGTCGGTTGAATAATATAATATATACATTATATACTATACAAGAAATTAAAAAAATAACATTTTGGGGCTATTTATTTGTTCAATACGAGTATCAAGATTTCGTGTTTTGGATCACAGGTCACAATGAAACACATCGGTGGCTTATAAACAATGTGCATTCTGAACGATGTAACTGAGTGTTGTGCATCAATGATAACTTTATCTACGAGTTGGAAAAACAAGAATTGAACACTGTACCTATAATTGATATAAAAACTTGACACTTTATAACGTTAACTAAACAACCGTATATCGTTGTATTTTATTTCACTAGATCAATTGAAACAACTAACCATGGGTTTCCGAGACTATAATACCCGTTTAAAATATATTGCCATCTCTGTTTTGTCGATGATAACGACAGGGATAACGATATGTTTTATACGGAGATTTTGGTCTCAGAAACCAACGGTAAGTTAAGTCTTATTATTATCAATAAACTTTCAGAAAACTACACTAAATAACTGCTAAAGTAGCCATTAAACTTTTCTGAATGTGAAAATGTTCAATGTTAACTTACCAAAGTATCGGCGTCTAGAAAAACGCATTTCTCATACTGGGTGAGATTCCAGCAGTGTATCTTGGTGAAGGTAATGCCGAGCTCAGGGCGCTGCAGCAGCGCGAGGTGTGCCGCGTCACCGGAGTCCAATACGTCCACAACCACCACCTCCGCGAATACCGCGCTCAGCCGTTCCCTGGACAACACATATACAGAGAGTTGCAAACAGTGCCCATCCATAGTGACCGAATGAAGCCGAGAGTTGTAAAGCTGTAGGACATTAGGTTACATATTTATATGCAATGCCTAAGCAATGTTGTGGTATCCAAGAAGGTTAGAAGAAGTGTCCATTATTTTTATATAATTTTAAGGAGAAATCAGAGCCAATGTCGGAATAATATCCGACAATCTTGATAAATAAATCGTTTCTAATATTACTTCGTTAACTTGTAATCCTATCGGTTCATAATGCTGAAGGACCTTGAACAGAGAATCATTATTCATTTATTCTGTATCAGTGGCGACCTACGCAGAATTAGATGAGTATTCTTTATGAACTAAAGATAGGGTATCCAGATAATGAAATCCTTTAATAAAAGATGTGCAACTAAATGCCGAGATTGGTAATAATCAAGTAGTCACATAACGTTAAACTAAAATCTTTATTAAGGGAAGGATATTTAAGAATATGTTTTTTTCATCACAAAAATCACTTCATAACACCACTATTGTTTGTGCTTCATTATCTATCGAAAAGTTAAAAATAGTATTCAACAACAAGACACTTGAAGCCAAACACATCCATTTAGCTGAATATATTGGGCTAAGTTTGACGTATGACGTCATACCTCATGGCGTCAGTGACGGAGGGTGTGATAAGGGCGACGGCGGGGTAGGCAGAGCCGGCGCGACGCAGCGAGTGTGCCAACACCAGGGCTCCCAGCCCATAGGAATCGTTGGTAGCCAGAGTAACCCATGCTCGATCTGAAACAATAGAAATCGGTTACCACTGAGCCTAAGTAGGGTGTGGTGGTTCACGGTGTTCTCTGCGCCGTTACGGAGAATTAGGAAAGTCAGACAACAGAACTTGCTGCTGTACCATGCTTAGGCAGAGATTATGGATTTCGATTTCATGTCTTCTTCATTCATAAATAAACACATTCTTGTTAGATTATACCGATATCATCAATCTAATACCAAATTAAAGTCTTGATTTTATCATTGAACACAAAGAGATTTAATTTCTCGATATACCGACTTCTTATAGATTGATTAAATTAATAAAAATTCCATGTAGAATCTCTTAAGTTAAAATATAAGAGTGTTGTAATACTTATAAGCGTATTGTCTAATGTCGACATATTATACGACTCAATTCTCAGTAATGAGTCTAGGGTACAGACGCTATGTCTGCTTGGAGGATTAAGATGGACGATCTTGTTATCGGTAATACATAATAGGATGAAAAGTTACCTTTTCTCTTACAAAAGTAAGGAAATTTTTTACTCCATAGACTGATTTTTTCGACTTTTCTTTCTAATAGAATTTTTTTATTACTGTCAATAAAAAATGATGTAATGAAATGCTAGAAAATACCATAAAGCTGAAGATGAATACGCTAAAAAAACCCGCACAAAGTGATTTGAGACATCTTTATGAGTTTAAATTGTGCCAAAATATTCCTTAAAAATGTTAATCTATTACACCAAACTACTATTGTAAACCTTAACACATTCTCACATAAAAATCGTAAATCTTAAATTCCAAGATGTATAAAATATAACTAGAAACGCCAAAAACACATTTATAATGGCTCATACGAATTTAATCACAATCTTGCGTTTGCCAATGACGTGCATACATTTCGAAAATAACATAGAAATCGTCGTTTTGGTGGATTACGCCATTCCACGTTCCTCTTGTCTGAATACTTCGTCATAACAAAGTGCGCAGTTCCTTGTTCATAAGATGCGTATATGCGCCCACCAAGAGAGCAAAATTGTAATCTGGCACGTGGTCCATCCACAATTGGCTTACAATAAATTCTCTACAACACCCTGTATATTTATTTAGTGATACACAACTATTTTAAGTCTAACAACGATGTTTCTAATTACATGTCAATGACTAAACACGCTTGCCCACACTTGTGAGCTTCTTATATTTGCATTGTGAATATTGAACGAAATCGGTGTATCGGATTCAAGCCAATAAGATGTCGCGAATGTGTTATGTACAGATTAACGAATTATATGTCTTTTTATTATTAAAATTTGCTTAGATAAACATCATGTAAATTCTTAAATAGTTAGGTCAGATATAGACATTTTAAATATGATAATATGATTCAATAGATGTGATTATTTTCAAGTGTCGTCATCATGCAGCAATCCATTGTTGGACATACATGATGTGTCTTATACCTTAATTTTTATAGGTCCATAGGTTACCAATATTCTGCGTATTAGATCCGTAATAAAACAAATTAATTTCGTGTTTCATTACACAGGATGATGTGTAAACGTCATTGTATCAACTCGTCGGTATATTTACGTGAATATGTTGTGTTCCGCGTGGGCTTGGTCGCCGGCGCGGGCGCGTAATAGACAAGTGCCGCACGTCCAGATCCAAAATAGCGCGACACAAATAAAATTCAAAATAAAACCCACTGGACGCCTTCAGATATTCGTGGGGGCTGTGTTCGCTGCGGTTCCGGGAAGCTGGTGGATATTCCGAATATTTAAATTTAAAAAAAAAAAAACATTTTTCGATATTCTATAACATATTTTCTAGGAGTTACAGAGCTATCGTACTATTTACTGTTTATTAACTAGGCTTTTATTTACTGTCAATAGTATCACAATCATCAGCCTGTATCAGTCAAACACTAGACCTTTCCCAAAACTTTCCACAGTATTAGGTTCTTCATTTTTCGCATGCAGCGACGTTATGTCATATAATCAACTTTCCAAATTATTTAATAATCCTTTCGTTTCGCTTGATTGAAGGAATTACGTTTTTGTCAGGAAAAATTAACATTAACAAACGAGTATATTACGTTTAAAAAACCTTTTTTGTTATCATTTACGTGTAACAATAGTCTTGAGCTGTCTACAGTCGACACGCATACATTCCACAATAAAACTGACGATCGTTCTTGTTGTTTGGTGACGTGCCCGTTTTAAACAATACATGATACACGAACGACCACAGCGGGCTTCGATCGAGACTTTTATTGAAGTTTATTGGACTAAATGTCTGAGTAACGAATCAACTGTTAACACTTTAAACTGGATATTACTTAGGTTTACGCATACGCATATAATGTAAGAGAAGAAAATTTTGCAATATTTTCACAATTTTTTTATGACTTGGATGTTTGTAATTAAAAAGGACTGTAGGGATAACGTGATAGTCGGAAAAGTAATTTTAGTTGTAAAACCAATTTTCCATAATTATTATGTTAGTTGAAAATGGCATTGGCTCTTTAAAAAAGTTAAATACAAAGAATTAAAATAATATTCAAATTAGATGTAACTGGAGACATTAACAAGTAAAACAAGAATTAGTCTGTAGCTAATTTCTAACGTATTTTATTACTAAAAACTGAATTATTAGAATTATCTTTAATCGGAATGTAGATCTCATAAAATTTTCTCGTTTTATCCCATAGATAAATATTAATACTAGATTAAATTGCGAAGAATTTTATATAAGTCTTAGACAAAATGTCAAACAACTGGTACGAGCTGATTAATAATCTAATGTGTCTGAGAAAAATATAACGTCCCGTTTGCTTATTTATAAATCCAGTCTTATATTAGCATACGTCGAATGTTTGTTTTTCATTACACGCGCGAAATGTTTATTGACCGATAAATTCCAAGGCTCTGTCATCGTTAAATAATATAACCGACATCCCGAGATGTCTGTCTATTTTTACAGGAAACTGTTCCTTGGTGATCATTTTATTGATCCGTCAAGGACATAGGATAGTTATGCCTCGTACAAAATCTGTTAAAATATCTCTAATAGTGTTACTATCAAATTAAAATTTAGTTTCTGTAAAACCTTGGCTATTGAGAATTGCCAATTGTTAGGCTCTGAAAATATCAATTAGTATCAAATTTTAAACATGTTATTTGAAATGAACGTAAAATTGTTATGAACATTGAAAAGTGATCAAGATATTTAGATATTAAATTGTGCAGAGATGGTCACTCACTGCCACCTCAACGACTCCATTAGTTTATATTATGGGAGAGTGGTTTAGTAATATTATAATATGAAAACATTAAAGTAGAAATAATTTAAAATAGCTCAACAACTCCCAATAAGGCACTCGAGTCGCGCAGGCGCAGGCGCGCAGGATCATTCAGAGTCAGACGGGAGCAATGTCCCTGCGGTTTCTATTTAGGTGCGGCCGGTCCGGCGGGAACCCATGCGAGCACTCGGCCGTTTAACATGCCACAAGAATGCCATGCTCAAATATATTCATATTATAATCTCACCAATATTATAAATGAAGAATGTTTGGATGTATGGATGGATATTTGTTAGAAGGTATTTCCAAAACGGCTTATCGGATCTCGATAAAATTAGTCAAGATGTAGAACATATTCTAGAAGAACTCGTAGACTCGTAGTCAAGTTTTTTTAAACTTCCACGCGGACAGAGTCGCGGGCGAAGGTTAGTCAACTATATATGAAATTCCGAGATGATTGCGTTCATCAGTCGCGGTCCAGAATTTAAGAGGTGTGACTATATTGAAAGACAGGATGGGAAATTACACTTGACTGTGAAAGTCTGCCTGAATAAAACTGGAATGATAATTTAGTAAATTCTTCAGTTTCGTGTTCAAGCACTTCGATTGACGACGACACTAACAATCCAATAGTTTGCTTATCCTATGAAAAAAAACGTATCTACGAGACTCTGTAAACGAATTCCAGTAAAGCGTGAAAACCGAACACGTATGAGATTTATTGGCATTTGACTTTCTATTTACAGTTCACATTGTTTTTTTTTCACTACTATCGACATTATCAAAATAGTAAAGTAATAAACGCAAGCGAACTTAGGTTTTGAATGTTTATCTCATCAACCATTTAAAAACATCGCTATCGCAGTTTTCAAAAGACAATATATTTTTACGCGAATGTATCTGTAATGTAAATGTAAACCCACGGGTACTCTTCAAAATCTGTCAAATTCCGAACAGCCTTTTCCAAATAGTCAAAAAAGGTATCTGACCCGATGACAAAGGAGCTGCTTTCATGGTTACAAGTAAAACCTACTTCGGCACAGAAAATACCATAAAAGAAAAAAATAGCTACAATACAAGCAAGATATTTTGATTTTTGTTGCGTACAAAGTGGCGCTAGTGAGGTGTCATAATTTAGTTTCACTTCTGCCCACCAGGTCTGATATCCTAGTCGGATTATACAAGGATTATTAATTACATTACAACAAGAATTCTTTTAAATCGTAACTGACAAATTATGTTCCAAACCTACCTAACTCTAGACTAGACTATAGATGCGGTAAAGATTTTTAGTGTTATTCTATAAATTGCAACTAACGTCATGAAATAATTATAGAAATATCAATATTGTATTATTTCAATTTTTTTTTTTGTTATAGCATCTATAAGGCAAACAAGTTCCAGTTTATAGAAATCGTAGCTGGAGAGATCTAAGTCAGCGACGATACCGCATTTTTCTATGATTATAAAAAAATGTAGGTATAAATAAAAATATATGTCAATTGTATAGTCTCAACAATCGATATAAAACTTATACAGCGATATAAAATCAATACGTATCAAGATTATTACGTAAAGGGTGTCCTTTTACCATTTCTCTGAAAACGTATGATATGAGTTCATTTTAACCGATTGCCATGACAACGAAGTTTATATAGTATTGCAGATTTAGAAAAGACCGCAATTGGGTCAGATTAACCTCAATAATATGTATAGAATGTCAAATTTAAACCGCATGTTCTCAATAAAGACACCAGCCATCTCAATTTCAATATCAAATTACTTACAATATTATAATAATACTTATCGCATAACCTTAAATATTTTTTTAAATGTCCATGGTCAAGATCAATGCAGTTTTCATCGAACTTATTGCTTTGTAACTGAACTGTTATGTGTAGATACAGAAATAGTTAGTTGATAACACATTAGTCTGTTTACAATCTCGTAGAATTTAATCTGATAACACACACGCAATTACGAATGTGTGCAAAGTTGTTAATTCATAACATCGTTAACATAAGCAACAATATCGAAAAATTTTTTCGCAATAGATCTTTTATAATTTTTTAAAATTTTTCAATACTACCCTTTTTTTTAAATATTTAAACAGCAAACGGTAAAAAAAGATTTGTTATAACGACTAAAATTACACATAGTCGGTACCTTTACTTTGCAATTGGTTTTTCAATAAAATGTAAATTTTAATATATTTAATTGGAAATTCAATGTGTTTTACATTTGGCGCAAAGATATTTTTTAGTTAAATAATACTAAACTTATCTTAAATATTGTATAACTTTTCTCAAGAAACATTTGCCGTAAATAGTATTCTTACTAACTTATTTTTGCGCATTTCAATTCAAGATTTTTAAATCGGGTAGATTTAAAAGTCCAATAAAATTTGGTAATTTTCCTTTACGAATATATTCAAATCTTTTGTAAAGATTTCTTTAAGTTTTTATAAAGTGTTAATTAAAAAAACGTGTACTCACTTGACATTATGCCGCCGGTGTAGTCTCGTTAGTGACAAATAGAGTCACCTTTAATATATCACAAACTACACGCGCGCCCCGCGCAGTACTGGCTGATTCGAGATGCGCGCTCGACCGACAAGGCGCCTATCCCCTTGCCGGCGTATTGGCTTCACGCACACCGCAGTAAACCGGCATACGTCACCGCCTGCACACATACATACGCTAAGATTCTTTTCAACAAAATGTTGACTTAACTACAATACGGCGTTTGATTAAACGTAATATGCAATTAAGGTTGGTGTATTACTGTAAATTTTGAAAATAGAATGAGTGGTAGTAATTTGTAACAAGTTTATTAATATTTGACGCAATGTAGTAAGGGCAACACTTTACAATCAGCTGTTTAACGCGATCGATAGATGTCGGTGGAAGTCGCTTTATTTTCGACGACGTATATACGGCACCAGTAGTAAAATCGCATCGCTGCATGTTGCTATAGTTTTGTTTCATACCTGCGACTATCTGCGGTATTATTTAATTTATTTGCACGCGAATTAGGGTCGATGAACGAATTCGGATAAAAAATGTTCAACCATTATACAATACGATGTTACGGCAGCAATATGAAATCGTACAAAATTCGATATCAAAGGAAATAGCGACGTAGAACGAAAATGTCGTAGACTGGATGATATCGAATAGTGTTTGTTTTTGGTGTTTCGGTGGAAACGATGGCAAACTCGCCAACGAGCTTGGAAACGCAAATAGACAGTTTTCTGGAACAGTTTAAGAGGAGCGCTTCGAAGGCTATGGAAGAAAGAATAGAGTGGCCAGATGGACCCTCGCCCGGAGCCGTCGTCAGGTCCCGCAGCAGTTGCTTTACCCTGGATGCTGCTACTGGTAAGTCTTTAAGAAATATTTAACGTCATACTAATGTGTGTAGTTTTGGCATTTAATATACTTTGTACATATATCGAAAATTTTAATAGAACCCTTAGATTAAAAAGACGTAAATAAATACTGATTTTTATTATGTAAACAAGAGTTTTCTTTAAATATGTAGCTAACCTAGCTTTATTTAACTTTATCAGATTAATTAAGTATTGTAAATCAATAAAGGTGATTTATACCTATTGGCCACTTTTTTTTATAATTAACAATGTAGTTAAGGTATTCGATACTTCTTACTTATTATATGTATGCAATGATGCAATTGTATTGTAAATGTAGACAATTGAAAATCTTTAAATACTACAGGCATATGGTTATTATCAATACACATGATAGTTAATCGTAATTATATTATAATTTCTACTAAATTAATAATACATAATTGATTACCAAAAAATATTTCTATTGCTGGTAAAAAAAAATCCAAATGGAGCTACATTTGATAATGACAACGTGGGATATGATGTCCGAAGTAAACGGCAATACTTAGTAGAAGTATCTATTAGGATAAAAGCCTATTGGCGAAACGATTGGCCATTTAGTTTCGCCAATTCCACGAAACTGCTAAAACACACGGACCCAGTGTGGTATTATTAAAATTGCTTTCGCCTGCCAGTTCGTTAGCGCCGAATTAAAAGAAATAGTAAGTAGCCTGTCTGTTCTTCCAGACTATACCGAACATAGAAATTCCTTAAACCGTTTTAGAGATATCTAGCAACAAACATCCAAACTTTCACGTTTACAATATTAATATGATTTAAAATTGGAACACTTGATATCTAACCCTGCACTAAATGATAACGTTATTTAACAATTGTTTAATGAGCATTACAAAATAATGATATAACGCATTAACATTTTAATGAAACAAAGTATTATAAAGTATGAAGTATAAGGTCGATTCATTACAAATATGTTAATTAAAATTCATAAAATAGATAAGTAGGTTCGTCATTTTGTCACAAAGAGCATTGAATCGATTTAGAATTGGGACAACGTCCTCGGAAACTAAATGCGTAAACCTTAGGATAACGAATTCTGGAATTGATTTCTGTTAAAGTTGTTATGGAAACTACATTTTATTCTTTTTCAAAAGATAGTAGAACTTGCGATAGTTTATTCTACGCAGATTGATATTGTTGGTTAAGACAAGAAGTTACTCTCTAATGAGCATAATCACATTTCACCAAATTTATACGTCAATTAATACGAGCTCCATAACAACTAAATCATCGTTATCAAATTCAAGTGCAATATTTATTCTTATCTTTCGAGGACCGTATTCTGGAAACCTTTTTTCATCATCCAATGATTGAAGCAACTTTCCGCCAAAAAGCGAAATACTTGAAAGTACCTAACACCAACTAAACCTCGCCAGACCTATTAAGACATAAAATAAACGTTTGTTTGTTATGAATAAATACATTCTATTCCTAAACGAAAGTTTATGTCCACGTAACATACATCATAACTTTATTATTGCATTAAAACACTCATTGAAAAAATATGTTTCAAATTACAACAGTATTAAAGAATACGGCAACAAATAACAGTTGAACGTCCGTGCGTTCCACGTCACTGCCGACCCTCGTGATGTACGCATCATTCATCTGATTACGTGTTGGATTTTTCTGAGCCAGATTTGTACATTGCCATATTCCTATTGGGCATTTGTTATGTTTAAACTTCCGTCTTAATTTTAGTCTCATACAAATTGCCAGTTTTGAACGGATTTAAAAGCGTCAGAAAAAATGTTACTATTTTTTTTATATTCAACTGTTAACCGAACATATTACATACACATCATCTCATAATTACATTATAGACCAGAATAACTATATTTATTAGTGCAATTTATGTAATACCGATCAATCATAATTAAACATGTTGATTCTTTATTTTAACAGACAATACATAAAACGTGAAGTAGTAAACGTCCTAACGTGTAGGTATTGGATGCCATACTAGTGCATAAAGCTGCTTTCGAAGACTATCGATTGTCGACTGTTTTGTAAGTGATAAAATAAATCTCTATAAAAATAGGATTCGTTTCATGTTATCATCAATAGCAACAAAAAGTGTGTCATTTACAATGTTAGCTCATACAAATCACACACATGCTAAATAACATAAATATCACGGTGCTTTTGTTTCTTTATACATAATACCGATTACGGCTCATTATAATTCATAATAACTCGCTCATATTTATATATTTGCTAGTAGGATCAAGCTCACCAAAAGATTTCAACTGGTTAGCCAAAAATGGCAACAGACATTCACTACTGCACCTATTTCGTAACATAAATCACCACTGATATCGTTCCCTTGATATTCTTCTTCAATTATCTATCATCTGCAATCACGTTTCCGACCTAATCATCAGTACATCTTGTAGGCATTTGCATGTTTACGTTGTGGATATCAAAACAAACTATATATTCATGGTCACCAAGTCCTTTGAATTGAAGTAATGATTTGGTTTAGATTTTTTAATTAATAATATTCATACTTATTTAACTTATATAAGCACTGTTTTATGTTCAATATAAATTATTTGGTAATTTTGCCATTTAAAATATTTACTGCGCTTTAAACTAAAATGACGCGGTTTATTTTGTTTGAATGTTCGCGCCTTTTTGACGCGATGCGTTCGTTGCGGAAACTTCGACTTCAGCGCCGTCTGGTGCATGCGCACTGTACCAATGACATGTTCTACGGCGTCCTCCGATTTTATTCACGGAAAGTGTAACGCCATATTGCTTCCGTGAATTCTGTGAAATATTTGTGCATTTCTCTTTAATCATGACTATAATATGAAAATGGAGTGATTAAAAATAATTCACTATCAACGTTTAATCGTGGGAATATAATTTAAATCATCACAGCTTCAGATTTTACGGGAAAAAGGTGAGTTTTATTCTTTCTCTGGTATGACTATATGGCCCAATATTCCACGGGAGTTCGATCCGCTATGCGATAATGAAACTTAAAAAACGCGATTAAGGTTAATAATTGCGCGATTTTTGTTATGTTTATTTACATGAATTTGAAAAGTTATCGCGGTTTTCTTGCACATTTCGTAGGGTTATAAGATTTACCTTAACATTCGAGGCGGGTTGGCCATCTCTCATTGCTTATTGTACATACACGTATGTAAGTAGATAGATACATGTGATTTGACATGAGCGGTCGGTTATAGTGTAGTTCGAGCGGACGATTATGTCCTACGAGAAAATGGAGGTGGTGAATCCTGCAGAAAAAGAAGCCAGTGAGGTGCTGCACTCTCTGTTGTCAGTGGAGCGTCGTAGTGTTGACAGCAAGGAAGCGATCATTGTTTCCATTCCCGCCGACCAAAATGGTGGAGGCGAGTACGGCGAAAGTGCCCAATGGCACACCCCAGTTATGGGACAACATTCAGTTTTTGAACTGAGTACAGCACAAGGTTTGCAACAACATACTTACAATGGACATCAAGAACAGGTATATTATTTACATTCATGTAAAAATCATATATCTTTTAAAAAAAATTACTAATTATGCTAACTCACAATAATTTCAGGTGCTTTGGCAAGGGCATACAATACAAGTGGAGAATGGGGATGGTAATCTGCAAGCGATGCAGGGAACATACAGTATTGAGTTTGAACCAAATGTTGATGGTGAAACTGGAGATATGGAAGTTGACACAAAACCAAAGGTTGAAAAAAAAGTTGCTGTTAAGAGAAAGAAAAAAATGGCAGAATCTGATAGTGATGAGGATGTTTTTGATAACAAATTGGAAGATAATCCTGCACAGGTGATTACATATTTTAGTATACAAATTGAAAACAATTTCATCAATTTTGAAAAATGTAATTTCTGTTTAATAAGTGTATGTATGTTTTTAGAGAAACTAAAATAGTAATTCTATTTACTACAATGTATTACAGGTAAAAGAAAGACTGAAACGAGGCTGTGACTGCAAGGATAATTGTTATAGAGGCCTCAACCCCGAAGCTGTGTACCGTCACAGACTAAATATTGCAGAATTGACAAAAAGTGAGCATGACATGTACCTGATGGGCATTACAATGGCAAGTTTGGCAAATCCTGCGGAAACATCTAGACACAAAGTCAGGAGGAGATTAAGAGCGTGTTATGTCTATCAAGGAAGAAAGGTTTGTTTAGAAGCTTTTTTATATCTGGAAAATGTTACGCATTATCAGCTCAAGCGAATTCGACAGCATGTTATGACGCATGGTGTGGCTCCCCGAATACATGGTAATGTTGGTAAGAAGCCATACAACACTTTCACATTGGACATTTACAAACATGCTACTAACTTCCTTAAGGAATATTTAAAACAACATGCAAGCTCACCGAAAGATGTACAGCCATCAGGGGAGGGAGGCAAGAAAACAAGCAAAACAGTTATAATACAAGGTGATTCAAGGAAACACTTATTTGAGGCGTACAAAGAGTATGGGGAAATTTTGGAACCCGGTGTAAAGCTTATGGGCTACTCGACTTTCCGAGCATTCATGAAAGATCAATTTCCTCAAGTTAAGTTTGCGACCAAGAAGCAGGAGATGCCAAAAGATATGGTGCCTTTCCGCAGCGGTAAGTGTATGTCATATGACAAAAACAAAGACCCTATTAGAATACAGCAGGAGAAAGAGAAGGCTGAAGCTAAAAAGGCAGCGATGGAAGCAAAGAAGAAAGAAGATATGGAGAGGGAGCAAGAAGCCCAACAACAGCAGCAACAACAGCAGCAACAGCAGCAGCAACAACAACAGCAACAACAACAGCAGCAACAACAAGTACAACACCAACAACAGCAACAAGTTCAACAAGTGCAAGTGCAACAACATCAACAAATGCAAAATCAAGGTCCTCATGTTGTTATACATCAGCAGCAACCGCAACAACAACAAACAATGCAACAGCAGATGTTGGTGCCGCAAGTGAGCCAACACCAACAAGTATTGACTCAACAAGTGGGTGGTGTCCAACAAGTTTCACAACAGCACTGTGTACAGCCTCTGGGAGTGTCGGAGGACAGCGGGCAGCCTGTAGAGATGGCTCAGCAGGTCATCCCGCTGGCTGTTGTGCAGCAGCCGCAGCAGGCTTATCTTGTTACTCCAGTGTCACATTTCCAAACTCGTGTGCAAGGTGCCTGGTACAGACATTGACACCAAAACATTTCTCCTTTGAAAACGTAACGAGATAGAACGCAATGTGATGACAAAAGTTATTGACATTGCATTATCTTGTAACTAAAAAACTTTGTGGCCCGAGAAATATTTTTTTATAAGCCACATGTAACTTTGGCAATAAGCTAGTAGATACTTAGGTTTAACACCTTTTCAGTATTGGTATATAAAACTGAAGTATCTGTAAGTATAAATTTAATCATATTTACACAATTTACATTAGCAGTAGCTATGTAGTATATTTTATAGGCTTATGATTTTGTAGCTATAACATAAGTTAATGTTTGGACAATTTGTCATATGTGTGGAGAAACACTGCAATTTTATGAATCATTAATCCCGCCTTCAGGTATCTTTTAGTAATTAGTTGTATTGTCTTTATCATAGTGAATACTTTTATATCGTGTTTTGCAGATTTCCATATTGTCTTCTTTAATGGTAGTATCAACAATTTTCTTAGCACTTGAAATTTTTTCTCTTCATTTTAGAAACAATATGTTTTCATAAGCGAAAATTCATAATAAAAAGTGTATTACAGAAGAATAAGAAAGAGATTGTAAAGTAAATATGCAATAAATTTCGAATGTTCGGATCAAAATTATTGATAAAATGAAGTTTGTCCAATTTCCTGCAAAAGTAACTTTATGATTAGTGATTACTAATCAATATCACATTGAACATCACATTTCTCCTTTGATTTTAATACAATGTATTGGTATTACTATAGTTTTTATTATGTATTTTATAATTAATTGATTTTCAATCATAAAACGGGAAGTACAGTCAAACCTTGATAAGCGAGAGTCGAAGGGACTGCGATATTTTTTACACTTGTAAAGATTTCTCTCGTACCTGAGTTTCTCGCTAATAGAGGTTGTCCTTCGGGACCATACAATAAGGTTTCTTGCTTGTCCAGGTTTGACTTTATCCATTTACCCAAGGAAAGTAAGAAAGCAGTGCCTTTAAGTACGATGGGTACATAAGACATGTGAATGTCTCGAAAAAGTGTTTGAATTAGTTATTTAGGGTGTGAATTAAGCAAGTTTAAAGTTACTATCACACACCTATGAGCATTTTAGTGTTAAATTTTATTCAAGATATCTGCACTAAGGGACTGCAACAAATAAACTTTGCATGTTGCAGTTACCTTGGGTTTCTGAGACCAAAAACTCTGTTTAAAACATAATTATATCTCTGTTTCTTTCAAAGCTAATGACAGGGACGAGGACATGTTTATAAGGAGATTTTGGTCTGGGAAACTTACGATTAGGAAGCTATTTTGACATTTTTATATTTTATACATATCAAAATTTCGTCGTGAATGTATTTTGAATATTCCTGTGTTATAAAGACATGATAGTTAACATGGTGTTTATTTAACGAATAGTCTTCAATATGCAGTCTGATGTTAAATTAATATGTTACTTTTAATTTTTAAAGTGTGCAAGATTGTAGTTATCATGTAGTTTTAGATGTGTGATTTTTTAAATTTTGGTGTTCCTTTTACAATAAAGTGTGGACTATTGAAAGATATCGAAAATATATAAATTTACTATCAAAAAAATCGGAATGAATTGTAAGATTAATTTGTGTCTGACTGAATTAATTCTTATTTTAAATGGCTAAGTTTTTGTCAAGTATTAATGGTGAATTTGTTTCTATGACAAAATTAAAAAGAGGAAAGAATTTAGAATTTTTAAGTACTGATTTTCTTTTGAAATATAATTAAAAAATAGTAAAAGTGGTGGTGAATAAATGCTGTGTTCATAATATAATAAATAAAAAGTTGTTACAAATAGAAGGTTTGCTATTATTATAGCTAGTACATATATTGGAAGAAAGCATTATGGTGTAGTGTGTTATGTGAACTTCAAAATTGAAATGGTCCCAAATATAATATTTGATTTGGTACTTGTTTAAACGTAATCATAGGCTTTTAAGAAATGATTTATTTTAACACAATGAATTTTTTATATTTAATGCAGTTACCGTAGGTTTCCGAGACTAAAATCTCTATATAAAACATGTCGTCATCCCTGTCCTTATCTTTGACAAAGCAGAGATAACAATATGTTTAAACAGATTTAGATCTTGGAAACCCACGGTAATTAATTGAAGAAATATAAGCGTGGTGTTTTTTAAGTCTTTATTAGATCAGGCTTTAAATATCTGGAAAAAAAGGATGATTTTATAAACTTCAATTCCAACTAAAATAAATATGTTATATGTAGGTTAGAATACATTACTTATATCAAAGATTAACTTGATAATTGTGTAGAAGAACATTAAATTTTCAATTGCATATTTTCATACAAATATTTTATAATCCATCTTGATCCATTTGTTAATTAAGACGAACGTAATATTGTAATTTATACAAGTACATAAAAAGTGTGTAATCATATATTATTGATAGAGAGTACAGGAATGTGGCTAGAAATTATGCTTACCTATGTATTTTTATAGTGCAATAAATGTAAAAGATTGAAGATTTAGACATCCTTGAAAGACATATTAAAATAGAGGTTGAAGAAAATATTAAGGAAAATAGTTATGAATATGCTTTATTTTGTGGGTATTGAACCAATATAAATTATTGATCATATTGTATTATGGAATGTACACGACTAATTAACTCCGTTTCGTAGCGATTTGCCCTAAGCATTTAATTCGGCATCTATATGTTATGTACCAAGATCAATATCGTACGTAGGAAGACATCATGTGATAGAAAATAAACTTTTTTACGCTAGTATACGCCTTTTTGTTTAAAATTAAACAATCCTTTAAATCCTAAGCAACATTGCGTCGTGTATTTCTCGTATTACGACACGTGAAATCACAAAATTTTACAACGGACGAAGTGCTCTTTATCGTGAGCAAAAACCAACACTATCCGTAGATCCTGGACCCGGATTAAAAAAGAAGTATTACGCACAAAGACGACCGAAGCAGCGGGTGCCCGCTAGTTCGCTATAAAATTAAGATGATGGAGTGATGTGGTTGCACCCACGCCATCCTCGTTCAATTAACGGCTGCTACAGAGCCGGAGACTGTCCGTCGGGGGTGTGCGTTCATCGCACTCGCGTCTGCAGTCTCTACCGCTCGCCGATCGCCCGACACTCACTTGACAGTTTAATATAATTCAGCGCGTCGATCATTTGTAAACAAAAGTCATTGTTTCGTCGCGACTCAGTTTGACGATGGCCACTTGAGTCGACGGCCGCCGCGGTGACATCCTATCTGACCCCACAACAAATGACATGAAGTTTTGGAAGTGCTGTAGCAAGCGCAAGCGCAGCTTGACCGGTGAGTTAGACGAGTTTATTTAGTAGAAATTAAATATAGTGCATGGTCAATTCTGTTAGCAAATAATTTAGACTATAATTTTTATTGCAACAAGGAAAAACTGTTGAAATCAGAAGCTATATATCATTAAATTAAATCTGACGTAAACATGTTCATATCAAATAAATAACGATTGAATTGAAGCGCCAAAATCCAATTTCAATCGATTGTAAGAACGAACCACAACTAATAGATGACCTTGTTAGATTCAGGCCTATAATTACCACTACTTTATAGCTACTTATTGCTGGACATATTTCTCGCAATGACAAATCAATACAACTATGTCCTTTCCGGATAACATAGTATTAAAAAATGTTGCAAGTTTTTAGATGATCTCTTCATAATATTATTGTGCTTAAACCAACGTTACCATTAATGTATTTCTATATATATGTTGAAACAGAAGACCACACGCTATGTCAGCACCATTCTTGGTAACTTGTCGAGAAACGAAAACAATTAGTGCGTGTCGAGTAGTCACATTAGGCGATATAGATTTTGGTTCCTTGTTAGATTTCCACCATTTTATGGAACCTGTTTCGAACCTAGTTAACTATCATATAAATTTCGTTGAACAAAAAACTTGAAAACATTGCCCACAAGATATTTGTTCTAAGAAATCATTAAATAAATTAGGTCTTTTAAGCTTATGCATTGCTATGAGCAGATATAAGTTATAAAAATATATATTTTGATTCGCTGCAAAAACTTTCGCAAGCTTTCACGCGAATATCTTATTTGTGTGTTACGTAAAAATACGACGTATTAATTTCGCATTTAAATGAAGCAAGACAAGGCAACTGAACGACTTTTCGAATTTTTATGTCACATGCAAATCGTGAACACTACCCGTTTGTAATTTGCCTAGGCAAATTATAAAGACCCAACCAGTGAACTGGGTTACACCGTATTCGCACGGGCGCTTTTTTTAATGCGCTAAAATATTCAGATAGAACAAATGCATTTCCAAAATACATAGGGCATTCAAAATGCGACGTTTTTTTATCGCGCAGTATGTATTTTGAACACTGGGCCAAAGAAACGCCAAGGCCGAGTTTTTAACACGATGTTAAAAAGCGCCTGTTAGAATGTGCTCTAACACAGAGACATCATTTTTTTTGTTCGAGTCATGTACTAGAAACCATTAAAACGATGATCAGCGTCATTGTTTTCAGCAGTTCACAATTCTTTGTGTTAACAAGTGGCCATCTTTAACACGGACGCACGTTGTCCGAGTTAATACCTACTTAGACCCGTTTGCCCTACATCAGCCGCAGTCTTCATTAAACCTTGTTTGCAGATGCTACTCTAATCAACTATTTAGGAATTTAGATCATGCTCGATTGAAGATCAAGTGGATTAGAGTTTGTTGAGATCGGATTGATCGTTCGTATTCGATAAATCAACATGTAGGACTTTCTTAAATGGTTTTATATTATATCTACTATTTATTTAAATAAATTACTGGCATAATGTTACCGTTTCAAATGCCTGAATCACTAGTATTGAAAGTGGGAGCATCATTTTCATAGACATGATTAAGTAAAAGAATATTGTCTAAATTGTAAAAAGCGATATCGTCAGTCAGCCTGTGGCGCACGGGCGGTGTGATTAGTATGCGAGCCACGAGCCATCAACCGCCGCCGC